TGAGGGATCCCTCATCCTCTACTGATGCATCTCCTTTTTGTTCTTCTAAATGAAGATCTTTGCACTTGTCTCTCTTGTAAATTTCATTCAGTTACTTTTGACCCATTTTAGTAAATGATTGTCAGGCCCAGCCCAAGAACACTGATGAAACAGCCCAGTTGAGTCAAGTTCCTTTGCTTACACCTTCTAGACAGAATCTTGCCCGACTAAATCTGTACTACAACAACAACTGGGTATACCCTGGCAGATTCTAGGGAGTAGCTATCCTGAACCTCTTATGCTTCCCTCGCTCCCCCTGCAGATTGTGTTGTCTTTTGTCCCCCTTCCCTTCCTGGAATGCACCCCTCCTTCCTGATAGCCTTGATCAACATTTGATTCGGGTTTTATGAAGAAAGGGAGGGAGGGAGGGAGGGAGGGTCAAAAGTAAATAAAAAGGAAAGAAAGAAAATATAAAGATTTTCTTTATAGCAGTTATAAGTATAAATTTAACTCTTACTCTCTGGTTACAACATGTCTCTCATTTTTTCGTATAATCTATTTTTTTCCTAATCATCAAAACCATAAATCAGAAGTTCATTTTTTCTGTTTCATGCAAAAAGTCTATAAGGGATTTCTAGCCAGCAATAAATGTAAATATTGTGTTTTCTCTGATCAAAGAAGACAACGGCCTGCCCTTTTAACTTCTTTCTCTAAAGTTACATTGTGACTCTCTTCTTTCTAAATTTATCCTGCCTGATCATCAAAACCATAAATCACAAGTTCATTATTTTCATTTATACACAAAAAGTCCATAGGGGGTTTCCAGTCACCAATAAACGTAGATATTGTCCTTTTTTTAATCAAAGGAGTCAGTTTGTCCATCTCAGCAAGTTCCGTCAATTTCTCCAACCATTCCTCCATGGTGGGTAGTGCCAAATCTTTCCACCTTTGGGCATTTAGTAATCTCGCCACAGTGATCATATACTGAAATAATCTTCCATGGCATTTTTAAAACTGTTTATCCATCAATCTTAAAAGGAAAAGTTCTGGCTTCAATTGAACACTTATCTTTAAAATCCTCTCTATCAAAGTAGATATCAGAATCCAATTTTTTTTAGCTTTTTTTCATGTCCACCAAGCATGATATAATGTCCCTTCACATTGTTCACATTTCCACCTCTGAACCTTTAAACTGAATGATTACAGGCCAGGAGATCGTCTCACTGGTGGGGTCCTTTCTGCAACAACTGCTAACTTTCAACCATACCGTTTCTGGTGGCCAAAACCTGGCTCACTTCGATACACCAATTCACTTTGGAGATACAACATAAACATATTAGCATGCAAACAATAAAACAGACTACACTGGACTCCCATCAAAGCATTGGCAGCTTGCTGAGCAGCCCTGGTCAAAAGCAGAACTACAGCTTCTGTACCTTTGGCCTATGTCATTGCATAGAAAGAGGCAGACACAGTGTAAATTACAACACGACATTGGAATGTTATTGTGACATCCATCTGGGTGACCTCCTCATTCTTTATTCTTTCCTACTAGGTCAGCACGGCAGCTATACTATCTTTGAGATATAGTCCATGAATATAAGTATTGTGGTTTATTGGGCCACTGGTTCTTCTCTGTTTTTTTCTCTTGTCACCACTCATGGTCAATTTAGCTTGCTGAATGTTTTGTGACAAGGGCACTTGAACCAGTTCGCATGTATGAAAAGGCATCTTATCGGGTTGGTCATGAATGCAGCTCGTGTGTGTGTGTGTGTGTGTAGAGGGGTTACCTTATACCACCACGTCTTTAATGTTACAGTTGATCCTAAAAGGCAGAAGCTATCCACTGCTTCAGTGTCTCCATGGTCAGTTCCAAGCAAAGTTCCCTTTAACTGCCAACATGATGTTCTGAAAAAATTGTTTTGTGCAGCGTTTCCCAACCAAGTATAAGTTGGTGCACCACAATATGAATATACAAGTAAACTGCAAATACATGTAATACATGTAAAGGGACAGAGAATTATTGGATCCATCATTCTGACAAGTTGGTACGTTCAGGAGAGTGATCCATCCATGGTAGTGGACTGATGTTCATCTCCTCCACTGCCAGATCACGTCTCAACCCCCCTGAAACAAAAACCAGGTCTAGGGGGCAGCCTCTGGTATGCGTTGGGCCATTGATGTCTTGGGACAGGTCCATGGTTGCCATGGAGGCCATGAACTTCTGAGCTGTCCCAGATTCAACGTCACCATGGCAAATTGCAATCCCCAAACACCAACAGCCCTGGGGACTCAATTGCCAGCCCAGCAACAGAACCCAGTAGGTGAGGTTTTGGTAAGTCACGTCAGATAAGATCATAGATGAGCACAGCCTTGTTACACATCAACCTGGCATTCAAAAGCAGCAGCCGGAGCCTAGGGTTCTCCTCCAGACAACAAACATAATCCCCCCAACTACCTACCCAACTACAGCAGGACCCCAGGCACTCCCAACCATACCTGCCAAGCACTCAGTGGTCTCGGGGGGTTCCAGATCCAGCAGAGGAGACCACCCAGGTCCTACCCCTAAGACTCCATCATTCCCTCAGATGGAAAGGCTGAAGGGCCCCACCCCCATGATTCTCCACCAAATCAGAAGCCCAGGGCCACAAGGTCATCCCAGGCTAGTTTCTGGGGAGGTGAGGCAGCCAGGAACCCTACCACACAGACCACTGCTTCCTTGGAATTAGAAGGTAGGGAGCGGTAGCGCTGGGTGTCATCAGCATTGAGGGGCACCAAACTCCAAAGCACTGGGTGACCTCTCCCAGCAGTCTTTGTGGATGCTGAAAAGCATAGGAGATAAGATAACATCCTGAAGGACATCAGAAGTCAATCACTTGGGTATTGGACTATCATCTTCACTTTCTGGACAAGTCCCAACAGGAAGGGCCAGAACCACTGCAGAACAGCTACCCCCAGGGCTGTGTCTGTGCCTTTCACAAACATGCTTGTCTCCAATTACATTTCTGCATATGGAGCCACAGACCAAGTTCAGGATCCCCCAGAGGAGATGTTGCTTCTCACTGTAATTATCACCATCCCTGTCTTTGAGACCTCTTCTGCTACTTCTCCAGTGACTGCCTTTGATGTAAACATCAGACTGAAGCAATGTGGAAGAAATCTAGCATTAGAAAAGGATAAATGCCTCCAGTCATGCTGAAGGTTTGGTGTAAGTTTTAGGACAGGCAGAGGCTACGCTGCTGAGCGTACCTTTCTCTCATCTCCATGTGAAGCTTGGTTGGGCTCTGAGTCAGGAAAGCCACTGGCATTTCTATCTTGTGAGAGACTTTTAAATTCTTCTAACTCTTCTTCTTGTTCTTTTTAGGAACAGGGATTAAAGAGGAATTTCCTGACAGTGAGAACTATTAAGCAGTGAAACAGTTTGCCTCCCAGAGTTGTGGGTGCTCCATCGCTGGAGGTTTTCAAGAAAAGACTGGACAACTATTCGTCTGAGATGGTATGAGGACTCCTGCCTTTGGCAGGGGATTGGACTAGAAGACCTCCAAGGTCCCTTCCAACCCTATGAAGCTATGATTCTATGAGAGAGGAATGGACCTCCTGCCTCTGCTTCTGATGCTGCTGTTGCTGCCCCACACAGATGCTGAGAAGCTCAGAACCAAATGCCCTCTGACTTTGGAGCAGCAAGATGGAGTAAAGCCATGGAACTATTACAGGCCAGGAAACCATCTGATTAGCGGGGTTGTCACTGCAACACATGTTCTGTTTAAGCCATTCCGTTTCAACAAGGCTCCTTTTGTTCAGTCTACTGTGTAAGTCATCCAATGGAGTTCTAAAGCTCTTCTCCTTTTATTCTTGTGAAATATTCTTATGTCCGTAAAAATAATCCAAGAATTTATTTCTCCCCTCTTTTGTCTTACTTCGTGCCAGAGACTGAAATCCAAAGCGGGGGCAGAAAAAGCCCTAAAAAAACCTGAGAAGGAGAGATGCAGCAGTCCCAGTCCAGATTATTCCCCCCCCC